GTTTGTGTGTGTGTGTGTGTGTGTGTCTATGTGTGTGTGTGTGTGTGTGTGTCTATGTGTGTGTGTGGTGTGTGTGTGTTGTCTATGTGTGTGTGTGTGTGTGTGTGTGTCTGTGTGTGTCTGTGTGTGTGTGTGTGTGTGTGTGTGTCGCGGTGACCAGACCGGAGCTTCGGGAGGAACGGAGATGTTTCGGGGTTTGCGATCAACATACGTTCGCTGTCCGCGGGGCCCCAGCGGTCAGGATCCGGGGACAGGGCACCGGCCCCCACACCCCCTCCTCTGTACCCCCTCACTGTGTACCCCAACCTCCCCCTCTCCTCTCCCCCTCTCCTCTCCCCCTCTCCCTCTCTCTCTCCTCTCCTCCCCCTCCCTCCCCCTCTCCCTCTCTCCTCTCCCTCTCTCTCTCTCCCCCTCTCTCTCTCCCTCTCCTCTCTCCCCCTCCCCCTCTCTCTCTCTCCCTTCTCTCTCCCCTCTCCCTCTCTCTCCTCTCTCTCCCTCCTCTCTCTCTCCCTCTCCTCTCTCCCCCTCTCCCCCTCTCTCTCTCCCTCTCCTCTCTCCCCCTCTCCCTCTCTCCCTCTCTCTCCTCTCCCCCTCTCTCTCTCCCTCTCCTCTCTCCCCCTCTCCCTCTCCTCTCTCCCCTCTCTCTCTCCCTCTCTCCCCCTCTCCTCTCTCCCTCTCCCTCTCTCTCTCTCTCACTCCCTCCCCTCTCTCTCCCCTCCCTCACTCCCTCTCCCTCTCTCCCCCTCTCTCTCTCCCTCTCTCCCCCTCTCCTCTCTCACTCCCTCTCCTCTCTCTCCCCCTCTCTCCCTCTCTCTCCCCTCTCCCCCTCTCTCTCCCTCTCTCTCCCCTCTCCCCCTCTCTCTCCCCCTCCCTCACTCCCTCTCCCCCTCTCGGTGCCTCTCTGTCCTCTCCGGTTGTGCTGCGGGGTCTCCCTCCCTGTCCCCGAGTCTCCCGGAGCGGATGGCGATGGCGAAGACGATGCAGAGAGGAGAGGAGAGGAGAGGCACACGGCAGTAGCCGGGGGGGGGGGGGGCTGTGGGGGTTCTCGGGTTCCGGGTTCCTGCAGTGGGATGAGCTGAGACGCTGTCCCGGTGTCCCGGTGTCCCGGTGTCCCGGTGTCGGCTCTGCGGCTCTCGGCTCAGCTCAGGTGGTCCGCGCTGTCATTGCGGGGACTCGGCATTCGCTGGTGGGCTGTGCACTCGCTGCTGGAGGGAGGGCAGTGCAGGCAGTGCAGGGAGGGAGGGCAGTGCAGGGCAGCGAGGAGGGAGGGAGGGAGGGAGGCAGTGCAGTGCAGTGCAGTGCAGTGCAGGGAGGGAGGGAGGGAGGGCAGTGCAGGGCAGGGAGGCAGGCAGTGCAGGGCAGGGAGGGAGGGCAGTGCAGGCAGTGCAGGGCAGGGAGGGAGGGCAGTGCGGGCAGTGCAGGGCAGGGAGGGAGGGCAGTGCAGGCAGTGCAGTGCAGGGCAGGGCTGGTTTGCTGGTGGTTTGCTGCTCCGGCACTGGCGGACCTGACGTGCTTTCATATATTATATGAGCGTCAGTGTCCCCACCGCCTCTGCAACGCCAACCTCCTCAACCAGATACCACACACACCCGCATTGAAATGCACACCGCATCCTGACCCCGACCCTCCAGCAGTAGCTGCTCCATCCCAACCACTGCCGACTGCATTTATACAGCGCCCGTCACTGTGTGGGGGGAGGAAGTCCCCCAAAAAGGCGCTGTGATTGGCACTGTTTGCCCATTCCAATCCAAACCCTCTCTGGTGTCTTTTGTATTTGTTTTTTTAACATTTCTACAATAGTCACAATCACAATCATAATCAATAATAATCCTCGCGTTTGAGACGGCGCCTTATCGCGTCGTTCGGGCGCCTCAAAGCGTTTCACAGAATATCTTGTAAAATAATAATAATAATAATAATAATCCTTGCATTTGATATAGCGCTTTTCACGTCGGGAGGACGTCCCAAAGCGCTTCACAGAACACACTGTAAAGTGAATTGACCGTATATTTGTGGGCGAACGCGGCAGCCAATTGCGCACAGCAATGTCCCACAAACAGTCGTGGATTGAAAATGACCAATTTATTATTGTTTTTGGTTTTGGAGGGATTATTATTAGGCTCTGTGTGGAGTAAGGAAACTTGCCCAAGGTTTCGCCCTCTGCCTGGAATTGAACTCAGGTCTCTCACTTGCAAAGCGAGTGCTTTGACCTACAGGACTCCACATGTAGTGACTGAGTGTTTTGTGGGCAAAACCCATCAGCCAATTGCACAAAGCAGTGTCCCACAAATAGTTATGGACTGCGTGACCAAAATTTTTTTTGGGGGAGGGATTATTACTAAGTAGGGTGAACCTTAGGCAAGTTTCCTTACTCCACGTGACTCTGTTTACCGAGCAGTAAGTAGGAACCCATTTGTTAGTCGATTGTCAGATCGCATTTCCAGGGGTAATATACCCTTCAAGAAAAAATATTAATAATTTCGTCACTACAATTACATAGTCACAACATTTTGCAGGATATCCTGTGAAGCGCTTTTAGACGTCCTCCTGATGTGAATGGCGCTGTACCAAATGAAAGGATTATTATTATTAACAATAAATGCCAACTTGGTTATCAACATGTCTGCTCCACTGGTGATTGCTCTTGTTTTTTATTGATCATTCAACTGAAGCTGCTGTCAACAAAGCTAATTAAATATGTGTGGTTGACAAATTGGCTTCACTGTGCTGAGCACTGGACTTTTGATTGGCAGATCATGACACTTGACTGCCATTAACGGAAAACTAGCTCAGCCCAGAATCAGAATACAGTACAATGCAACAGCAACAACTTACATTTATATAGTGCCTTTCACACTGGGAAGATGTATCAACGTGCTTGACAATGCTGACGTAGCACCTCAGCTCGGGGTACGAGCCAAAGTCAAAGTGTGTAAGCAGTTCAACAATAAATAAATGTAAGTTACGTTAAAATTTACAAGGTTTTGGCTACTCTTCTTTGATTTCCAACCCCTATGGTTTGGCTGTATGGAATAGTTAGCATTATTCTGGCCACTCCCTATTGATAAGCTGCACGGAGTGGTTAGTTACATTCCAGTTGAACGAGGAGAGGGATTCCGAGATGGTGTTCCAGAGAGGGGTGGTCAGGATGGCTGAAAGCCTGCCAATGGTGGGGCGAGTGGTGGGGCAGGATCATGAAGCAGGCCACTAAGCAAAGGGAATGGCTGGATCAGTAGATTTGAAGGCGGTCGCTTTGTCTTCTTGGAGGCTTAAAAGAAGGAAGTCAGGGTTGGAAGGATCCAAACTTTGTATTTTCCCATCACTGCTTCAAACTGTATCTTAAATTACACCCCCCAAATATAGAGTAGGAACAAAGACCACACCCCCCGCCCTCCCCACCCCCTCCCCACACATACACCAAAACAGTCAATGCTGTATTTATTAACTTCTTTTAAAAAACTAGATAATTATCTGTTTGAGAAAAATGATTAGAAGATACAGTGGATAGGTACAGACTGAGACGAGCATGGTTCCTGAACTGATTTATGCACCTCTTGGGGGTCGAGAGAAAAAAGGAGATTCCTAATAGACAATGGGATTTAATATGCAGCAATTTCTAACAGAATTCCTTAATTAGTGAACCAAGTGGGGATTCCGTCCAATAATTGGAAACACATCATACTGAACCACATTTTCTTCACTGTGAAAGCAGATTGTTTTGGAGAGGGGAATAGTGTGGAGTGTATACACCAACATGGGCCAGTTGCCTGTTTCTGTGCCGTATTACTAACTCTGAACTGTTTTTTTCCACAATGAAAATGCAATTTGAAGTGTACACAAGACCTGAATCTACCCTCTAAACCTTCACGTCATCACCACGGAGTAACCAAAAACTCAACCAATCACTCTTACCTTAAGCTTGCTTCGAGTCAAGTCTGGTTAGGCTGCCCTCTCATCTACAGTATCCTCCAGCCTTGCATCACTATTGAAGAGCCTGAGCACTGAAAAAACAGGGACATTGATCTCGAAGTAATCTTCTTGAAAATGTGAGGCTACCAGGATGAGGTAAATGCTTCACTGCTCACAATCCATCAAGTTGTTGCAGACTTGACACAAACGCAGAGGCAAAATGCAACCCAGATCAATGCAGCTGAAGGCTGCAACTTGGAGCAAAATGATTACATCACTGTGTTGGAAGGTAAAATTGAGTGCCCTACATAAAGGCACTGTCAAGCTCAAGGAAAATTGATGGGCTTGACAACAGATATAAGCAGAGTAACCTTTGTATCTTCAGGAACCTGGAGGATTCCGAAGACAGTCGAAAAATCAAAAATATC